AAGAATGAATGAATGCATGTAGCGATTATCACCACCAATGGTACTCGTCGAAGTTTGCAGTGAACTAACTAGAAATTAAAAAAAATAAAAATAGACAATCGACTCGGAGCAACGACATGATAAGCCACATACAGAAAAACTAAAAGTAGACAACATTTTAAGAACACTCCTAATCATTGCTTCAGTCCTTTGTTTTTTTCAAGTCTAGTTTTTCAGACACCGAAGAAACATAGTATCATCGAAAGAAAGAGCTTCCCCTATACTAGCCACATACAGAAAGGAAGCAATAATTATAGAAAAAAACTTCAAAAAATGGAAACAAATTGATAACAAGAAGATGACATGAGTTCTCTGGATTATCTTCCCCTCCTCTCATGAGTTCGTTTGGTTTAGCGCAGGCAGGTGAAGGTTCTCATTAGTCTCTGAGGTTCGGGTAGGGCTGGCAAGTTTTAGTTGGTGGATTATTTTCATTGTTTTAGTTGGTCGATTATTTTCGTTTGCCTCCTGGGAATTATATTGGGGGAGGAGGTCGGCTCGTCGCAAGGGGGAGACGAGGGTCGTCTTGTCTGCCATTACTTTTCTTCATCTTGCGAACTATGGGTGGAGGAGGTCGGCTTGTCGTGAGATGCAGGTAACGGGGTCTGTAGGAAGAGTGTGCGTGGGCTTCTTTTGAGTTTTTTAGGTGACCAGTTGTCCTTTTCTTGCCTGCGGAAGCGTCGTGGTACTGAATTGGAGGGAGGGAAGTTTTTGATTGGTCATATTGCGCCCTGCCTGTGAGGAGGGCTAGCTGGTGGGATTGGATTAGGGCACAGCTGTGGTTGAGAACGGTGGCTTAGCTTAGCTGCTGTGAGTCTTTGCCGGAAGGGGGTGCTATAGGGATGGCAGGTTAGGGCGCTGCGCCTCCTTTGCGATCGGGTGAACTATTTCTTTCTTCTTCTTCGCAGTATGTGGTGGAGGAGGTCGGCTTGTCGAAGGAAAAGGAAGAGTTGAAGTCTACTTTTCATCGGTACGGGATTCGGTGAGGTTAAAGTTGCTTGTTAGCCTTGTTTATTGTTCCAAGGCGGGGCTAAAGTTGCTTGTCTATTGTTCCCAGGCGAGTTAAAGTTGCTTGTCTATTGTTCTTCTCTCCCGAACTATGTCGTGGAGGACGTCGGGTCGTTGGGGAAATGAAAAGGAGTAAGGGGGGGGAGGGGGGGGGGGGAGGGAAATGGGAGCAGGGATTTTTCTTAGTCTTTTGCAGGTTTGGTAATCGACTTATAGTGTTGGGAAAAAAAAAAGCCTAAGGGGAGCTAGAACTGGAAGATGTAAGGTAGGAAGGGGGCTCTCAACACGGGAGGAGGTTGTTTGTTTAGGTAAGTAGGTTGGAAGGATTGGGACGACACAGGACGGTGCTGGAGTTTTTGCTCTGTGACCTAAGGGGGAGCTTGATGCCTGTGGAGTTTTGCCGAGGGCGGAAGGCATAACCAGATCGTCCGACGTAGCCAGAGGCGGGGTATTAATCCTGTAACCTGGTGTCAAGGGCTTGCCGACACCGGAAATGTCGAGGGAGGAAGGCACTTCCTGTCCATCCTGTCTCTTATACACATCTAGATGTGTATATTAGTCCTGTAACCTGGTGTCAAGGGCTTGCGGCTAAGATGTCGAGGGAGGAAGGCACTTCCTGTCCGTCAGAACTAGATAGGTCAATACCGGGGGAGGTTGTGGTGCCCTGTTACCCTAGCAGAAGGGGGTATGAGATCAACTGAGTTCTGCCGAGAGCAGAAGGCATAACCAGATCGTCCGACGTAGCCTGTGGAGTTTTGCCGAGGGCGGCGGGCATAACCAGATCGTCCGTCGTAGCCGGAGGCGGGGTATTAACCCTGTAACCTGGTGTCAGGGGCTTGCGGCTAAAAGGGAGATGTCGAGGGAGGAAGGCACTTCCTGTTCGTCAGAACTAGATAGGTCAGTACCAGGGAAGGTTGTGGTGCCCTGTTACCCTATGTAACCTGGTGTCAGGGTCAGAACTAGATAGGTCAGTACCGTCAGAGCCTGTTAACTATGAGACCGGAGGGTCAAAACTGAAGCCCCCTGTTTACCAAACCTCCCTGCCTCAACAGACGCAACACCGGTGCAGGCTTTCAGTCCTCATACCAGAACTCAGTCGATCTCATACCCCCTTCTGGTACTGAACTAGATAGGTCAGTACCGGGGGAGGTTCTGGCAGAAGGGGGTATGAGATCGACTAAGATCTGGTACGAGGACTGAAAGCCTGCACCGGCGTTTCGTCTGTTGAGGCAGGGAGGTTTGGTAAACAGGGGGGTTCAGTTTTGACCCTCCGGTCTCATAGATCTTCAAGCATACATAGGCTAGAAATTGCTCATGATCTTATTCTCAGCCGAAGCCGGGTCATGGCTCCGGTATCTTGAGTTTTGTTCCGTATGTGTTCTCCAATATGTTTCTCCTGGGATGCTGGGCCCAGTTCCCAGCACGTGCGGCTCCCCACGAATAGATTGGGGAATTGTCCCAAATAAAAGGAACAATATAAAAGATGACATGATTTCTCACCTAGCATGGCGTCATCACCTCCTCCTCCCGAACACCCTTGATCAAAACCCACTTTCAAGGACACTCAATCCTTCTACTCGCACGCCACTCAGATGGAGGAAATTGTAAGTTGATCTCACACTCCTACAGTCCGACTCCTACGTCATAAGCCCTTCTAGGATAAGAGTGTGGCCCTCCCCCGCATGATTGGTCCCACAAATTTCACTACATTGACCACAGTAACTCCTCGTTTTTTACGGAGAGTCCTTCGGCCGAAGGACTCCGTTAAAAAAAAAAATGCTGTTGTGAAAGCAACCTGATGTGTGTGTGCGTGTGTACACGACCTTAATGAAGTTTAAGAATGGAGCCCCTATTATCATGTGCACGGCTGGGCTGGAATACGGTGGGCGTGGCGAGTATTGCAACCCATGGAAGCGATCATCCACTGCAGTTAAACCACCAGTACTCGCTAAAGTTGTGCTCCCGTATACAAGCCACGACTTTTTTAGGAAACGTACGGGCCACTACGGGAGCGCCCAAATTCGTCCGACTAGAAATGTTTCTAGTACTTTCTACTCTATTTTTTTCCCACGGCCGATAGCTGGGCCAAGTACTGGTGGTTTAAACATCTTCCTTGTATTGGAGGGCAAAAATTTTGTCTTCATGTTCGTTGCGCAGCAAAAGCAAGCAACTACCTTCTTCCCCTCAATACAACGTATGGTCATTATAGCTGTATTTAGACCGAAATACGCCTCAAATACACCTATAATGAGCGCACGTAAGAGGAGGAGAATCTGGCAGCCACTTGAGGCCTGAAGAGGCTGGCACAGCCAACATATGTGCTCAAATCCTCAGCATTATTCAGCATTTCCAAAAACAATTCTGTACAAGGGAGGCGCGACTCGATTTCCAGCAGGTGTAGCCCCCCACCAACAATAGACTGGAGCCAACTGGCACCACCACTAGCCGTGCCGACTGGTGCTTTCTTGAAAAAAAAAAAAAAAAAAAAAAAAAAAAA